TTTTTCAATCTTTAGATTAAATATTTCAATACATATTTATAATATTGTTTTGTTTAAATACTAAAATATTTGTCGTCTTTTATCTCAATAGTTTAATAGGGAAAGTTTATTAAAAATAGATTTAAAATTTTTGTATCTATATGATGATTTAATAGTTTCGATTTCATGTGATATTTTGGGTACTAAATATGAACCGTCGAACTCTTTCTTCTTCTATATCTTGAAGAACTTTCCTTTTAGTCCAACAATTTACAGAATTTCATTGTTTACCAGCTAGGAAAAATCTTTCAATTAGTCTACTGACGACCTCGGGACTCCTGTGAGTGTGAACATTCTTGTTCCTAAAGAATGGAAGTGCATTTAAAAATATGCTTCCTGTCTAGCGATGGAAACACAAGATGAACTGCCACTCCTAGGAATGAGTAATATGAGCGTCTAAGAACCGTAGTGTTAAGTTTAACTTTTGAATATTTTGATAATACTTGAAATACAAGTGCTTCCCTAGCAACATAGACTTTCCAACAATGCTAAAAATTTTGAAATCACTTTTGACATTCAATAATCATCTGTCTAATTTAACTATCTCTCGATAAATTGAATTTAATACAAAAGAGTCTTATTAATTGAAAGTAAAAGCAAGTAGGAAACATTATAATTATGTTTATCATTTAATGTTAACTTTCATATCTATTTGTTCAATCAATTTTAGACATATGAAGTAATCAAAATTAATTTATCTACAATTGCTACGTTATATATATGAAATGTTTCTATTCAATGTGTGATGACAATATGATATTGACATTTTACATATGAAACATCAAATTGATATAAATATTGTGGTTATATAATATGAAATTCGTATATATAATATTCAAATACATTTTAATCAAAAGACGATTCTTTTTTTTGTCGTAAATATAATTTGGTAAGTGAAGATAAAGTTTAAATTTAAATGATTTTCTGGGTGTTATACATCTGCAATCTGATCGAAATAATTGCTCTGATAGATTAATAGTTAAATGGATCTTTTTTTTATACTATTATTTTAAACTTTGTTCTATTTATTTTGATACATTCCGAATTCTTGAAAAAGCTTTAATCTATAAGAAGATAAATACGGAAAAATATTAGTTAAAACAAATATTTATTTTATAAGTTGACATGAGTATTAATTAACATCTAAGTATATTTACTAAAACGAAAATTCAATGATTTATTATGTTAGTTTTATAGTCTTATAATTAAAATTTTAATTAGAAAACTGCCTAGTTTATATTGCATTAGAGAATATAAAACATAATTGACAAGTAATCTATGAATGTATCGATATTTTTTAAATCAAAATTTTCTGCCTTTAGAAAATATTTTTAAAATATAAGCATAACTCAGATAGTTCAGGAAACATATTTTGTCGTTTAAACCAGTATGTATTGTCAAAAATAACCTTTTATTATACTTAAACATCGTTTCGAAGTAGAAAAACATTATTATACGTATATGATAATCAGATTACATATAAAGACGTTTTAATGCTATTTTCTCTTCTAAAATATTGTTGTTTGGGTTCGATAAACGAAAGTTTCGGACAATGCATACTGATTTAAACAACAAAATGCCATTTTCTCGACTACATAAGACAGTAGTCCAAAAGTCACTTTATTGAAGAAAAAAACCTGAATATCTCTGCTATAGTTTGATTAAATGAGCCGATTATTTTGACTAATGGTAAAGAAAAGTTCACAGATCCTATTAATAAGAAAAATATTGACAAACACTGCTTTGATATATGTGTCAACATTTTTTCCGAAGAATAGACCTATGAACACTCAGCGCTATGGCGGAAATATTCTGTTTTTTTTCGTCGGTAAAGTCACTCTTATGCCTCCCTGCACATGAAATACCGATTAACACGATTTATAAAAGTTGAAAATTTAGATATGAACATGTTAGAATAACAAGAATATATCTCCAACGGATTCACACCGTTTTCGCTGATTATGAGCATCACTCTAATTGTGCATTAGTTTGAACGCTATATCATGAGCAGAAGTAAATATGAACGATATTAAGAAAATTCTGCAATGATATGATCTTCTGATAACAAAATGACAAGCATTTCAGCGTATTTTGAATCTATAGGGTAATTTTTTTTTGGAAAAATTGAATTAAAGAATTTCAACCAAAAAGATATAGAACAGATCATAACATCTGTTATATAGAAATAAATGAATGAAATAAATAAGCATCAACACCAAGCCTCCTTATTATTCATGCACGGAATGATTGAACTAGTTGAAAAAATAAGGAAATAGGAAAATTACGAAAGTGCATTAATGTATTTCACGGCGCACGTATGGATTGACTAAAGCGCACTTACACTCACGGCTTGTCCAAGCGTAATGGTGTTACACTATTTTCCAATTATATCGAGAACTTTAGGCGCTAGAAAGCTCGTTCAAGCACCATTAGACGCAGCTCGTCACGCTCTATTTATGCTATAAAAATGAATAGTTTCCATCGACCTCTCGAGTCTCTGGAAAGATTTCTTGATCGCGTAACGGAGTCACATAAAAGGACCCTAAATTTGAAGTGTTTGTCCTTAAGCTGTGATTTCCTGCGAAAGTCGCTGTCCAAATAAAATGCCGCAAGAACGAATTTTGTAGAGCTTTTAACGAGTTTCACAATGATAAAAAAATATTTGTCCTAACATCTTTTGTTTAGGTAAAAAATGCAAAAAACAAACGTAACGGTGTGACACAGTTTTTTGTCAGCCATTTTTGAGGTTCTTAAGATGATCAGAATGATTTGATTTTTGTAAGGGTTAGTCTTTTCTATGTAGCTAAGCGTTCTACGAAAGAATGAGAATGATTTATCGATATGGGAGCTCAAAAATTGAATAATAAGTGGGAAACTATATAAGAATCTACAAGATGTTCACAGCTACCAAAGTCAAAACTAAATAGTCCATTTTGTAGAGAATGAAATTCTGCATCGAATGGTATGCCTCTTGGCATTTTTTGAAAAAACTTTCTTAGTCAGAAAATTCAAAATACGATTTTAGAAAAGTTTAAAATACGATTTCTGATGGGAAAATCTGATTTTTTTACAAAATAAATATCAAATTCGTAATCAGCGTTAAAAATTGCGCCTAGTAACCCATTGAAATATATTCAACTCGAAAAAAAAATTTTTTCGAAACTTGATCAGCGAAGTGTCGCGTTACGTGGACAAGCCGCTCATATAAGTGCATCTTAGTTGTTATTAGTTGGTTAATCTACTTATATTGCATTTGCTCTGACTCAGAGTGTCTGAGTCATTCTGACCACGCCGTAATGGAATAATGTTATCGTTATCTATTTCATTATCATTATTAACTGAATACTGATCGAATAAAAAATAAAGATATTTATATGCACATACAAACAACTAGTCAATTTATCCAATCTTTCAGATAGAATTGGTATTACTCTAGCAATGAAATGGCATATTAGACATTGATGAGCTATCAGCTGACGTCTTCATAATTTTGTTCATGTAAGTAAATGTACTTCTACTATATGAAATAAAGACTAGATTTTAATATCAAAACAAAGGAGAAAATAATAAATAAATTCGATTATGAGTTGTGAAGTATGAAATAATACTAATCACATACAAGATTTTCTTTCGTGATCGAAAAAAAGTGGAAATCTACTGTACTGATATTCAAATTAAATAGATACTTTTTTAAATACGAATCAAAATATACATAATAACTTATTGATTTTTTTATTATCTATGAAAAAGAAAAGTTTTGCTGAAGGAAATATACATGATCACAGCTGAAACATTGAATACTAATTCTATTCTGTATTTTCTATCTTCTTTCTAGATAAAAACAAAAATTTCCAAATATGTTTTCCGATGACCATCATAATGAAAAGTTAAAATTACAATTACTTATTGAAAAAGAAAAAAACCAAACAGAAACAATTAAGTCTATTGTAACCAGATAAGAAATAGAAACCAAAGAAAAAAAGTTAATATAAAGTTTATTCGAACAATTTGAAGAAAGTCAATAGATTAATAGAATGTGACTGAATAAGTTGCATATGATAAATGATAACAATATGTAATTGGTAAAATATATTTGGGAATATAAATATTTTTCTAGTATCAAAAACTTAATGACGAATTAAATTTATCTATTAAACATAAAAAATTTGAATAATGTTTATTTTTTTTGTTGTTGATTGTCCCATAATTTTAATGAGTTCCACGTTCTTTCATGAAAACATTCCATGACTCAAATTGTTTCTAACTCCGCTTTAACATGGTTCTCATTCATATAGATTATGAAATTTAATGTAGATTTTTAAATCAAAAATTCGTTCATAAGCATAAATTGAAGAATCTAATGAACTCAATGATGATAAATCACAAAGAAGATTTAGAAATTCATATCTAGCATCAGAGATGTCCATCGCGGCTCGAAATCTGCCACTGTCGCGCCGCGGCGATAGAAAAGAAAATCTGCCGCGCCGCGATGATTTTCCAAAAAGTCTGCCGCTGCCGCGATGGACATCTCTGTCTAGCATATGTAATTGTACCTTGTATCAGTAATTATTTTGTCATTTCATTTATTTNGCCGCTGCCGCGATGGTACTCGAAAAAAAGTTTCGAATTTCATTGCTGTGAATGTATTGAAATACAATTCTTGTCACTAATCGATGAGACTCATTGAGTCTTAGAGTGTTACGTTTGTGGACACTCAATTTTTGGCAAATTCATGAAGTTTTGGCAATATCTTCTAAAAGGAGCCTGTCGCTGCCGCGATGATACTTTGAAATTTCTCCCGCGCCGCTGCCGTGCCGCGATGATTTAAAAAAAACATGCCGCTACCCGCCACCGCGGCAGCGCCGCGATGGACATCTCTGTCTAGCATATGTAATTGTACCTTGTATCAGTAATTATTTTGTCATTTCATTTATTTTGTATGTTTTAGCAAATTTTAATTGTTAAACGCAACTATCAAACATTAAATATTCTATAACTAAATCACAATGAATAATATGACAATCATATAAATATTGAACAATATCAGTAAGTTGTTTTGATTGAATTAATGATAGAACTTCGATAGGTTTTAATACATTTTCAAAAAATATAAAGTTATCTAAATAGAAATAGAAAAATAAAATCAATCTTATATTCGTATTCAAGTAAAAGACATTTTCAATATCAAAGTCTTTTATTTCTAAATGTTATTCTTCATTTTAACACATCGATAACTGTGATTTATTATTTAAACATTTAAACTAGAAAAATTTTCTTTTTTCATTTTAAATACACTTTTGAAAATTGATTTTGATTTTGTCATTAAGAACATCAAATTTTTCCAACAATATGATGAATTTATCATATCGATTAAAAATTTCTTCTCAAAACAATATCAAAGTGATTTTACAGAAACTCACAATAGTAGAATAAAACTATCAAAGAAAAATTGATTAAGTTTTCAATGATCGGCATATATTACTTTATCTCGAAAGGTACCTTCAGAATTATTTATGTTTTGTCATTAAACAGTTTCAACCTTTTATTTAAGTACAACTATATAGAATAAAAGTGTTTGAATTATTCGACTGGATCATAATAAGCAGCATTCAAATGTTCTAATAACATTATTTTTCGGTTGACGAAATTTTCTTGAAAAATGTTTTATTCAATTTCGATTAATCTTATTGTAATGAGAAAGAAAAATTTCCTATTTTGGTACTCATTTAAATATCAATCTCATCTTTTCTTTTACTAATATTTTTATTTCAATAGATATTTTAAAAATCATTATTATTCCTACTGATTACTTATATCTACCACTGGACTGCCATCCAAAAATCTTTTATCATACGAAGATAAACCATATTCTTAGGGCAAACTAAAATGTCTAGTGTAGTATTCTTATGATTTTAATATTTATATTATTCTTTCTCGTTGTTTATCAAGAAATCTTTTTTTTGATTTTTTTAATCTCAAACATGTTGAAAATCAGTAAAAAGACATCTATGGATAGAAGATATCAGAAAAATTTTTTCTAATTCATTTTCTTTGATACAAAATAGAAAATGATTTATTTGACTTTTATTCAATTTTCAACCCAAAATTGAATATTAAAAACTATTCTTATCATTGATCTACTGTGAATAAGAAGTTTTTCTAAGTGTTATTCATATATTTTCTATCGAAGAACCAACACAGATAGATTTCATATTGTAAAATCTCATACAATCTACTATCTATTTGCATATCTCTTTATCTTAGAAAAAAACACAAAACAACGAAAATCAAAATTGGGGTGTGGGGTCTTAGTTATTAATCTGCACCCACCCCCACCCCCACACCCTTCTATTTTTAATCGTTTACTTGATTCTTCTTCATCTATTAGTGAAAGTTTTACTTGTATTCGTTTAATTTCTTCTTCTAAATATATTCTTTTCGTTTCTTCTTCTAATTGTATTTGTTTAGTTTTTTCTTGTTCAATAAGTAATTGTAATTTTAAGATTTCTAAACTTTGATTATAGCTATCATCCATAACTATATATGACAACTTTCGTTTGAATCTAGAAGGAAAAAACAAAATAGAGAATCGAATTATTATTTCAAGCTTCTTGTTTGATCATTCATTTTCTTTTGTTCCTTGTGAACAGTCGTTAGATTAGAAAAAAAGCTGTTAGCGCAATCCCTTGCGGGATTAAAAGTGTGAAACACGATGTAGCTGTTGTTACTGGTCACAAGAATATGGTTTTCTTCGGTATAGCGTGGAACCCATTTATTCATTATTTCTTACTTAATTCTCTAGAACTATAACAAGGAAGCAGTTGATACATTCTTATGAGATTCTAGTGATATATAATCGTAAATCATGTATCAAAAGGTCTGCCATGGTCTGTGATAGGTATGGATTTTCTGTCACGGTCCGTGGGGGAGGGAGGGAGTGGGTTCAAATTTCTACCCTATATACTTCAACACTCCTTTCAGATCGTGTTTCACAAAAGGAAAATCGAAGAGGATGATTTGAAAAAAAGAAAAATTTCGTTTGCTGCCATAGAATAAGTATTCGTATTATGTAAAACGTGCAAGTATATTACAAATAAGGCTGCATATTTACTGATTATTTCAACTATAGAGATATCTAGTGTTTTGGAAAACGTTAACACAATTTCATATAGTCTATCTGAATGAGAAATAGAATACATACTGAAAATAAAACAAGATCTCATATCCATGGTTTAGATATACACTGGAAAACGCGAGACAGGTCATTTTGAGAGTAATCATAAATGTGTTTTTCTGATTTTGATGATCATAATGAAACAAGATAATTACAGAAATTTTTAGCAAATCATTATTTACACTTCTCCTAATACAATATAAAACAATACTGCAAACTAAATATGGTCGACAAAGCATTTACCAACGATATTATTCAATAGATATTCATTCAAGCAGAAAATAGCAAAGCTCTGACAGATTCTTTTGATTTTATTAGGAAGTTTCGTGACTCCAAAAGAATTTCAACATGAAATATAAATCTATTTCTAGAGTAAAAAACAGCTTTATTTAAGATAAAACGAAAGATCAATATACATGTTATATCTTCATTATTTTTTGTCATATAACAAATTCACTCGAAATTAGATTGTTATTCATTAAAAATTTTCAATTCTTTATGTCTTACTTCGTAGATTACATCGGTTGCAGTATGCTCAAATATAGACTTAAGATAACACTAATAAATTGAAGTATCAAAACGGAAATTATTCATATAAGTCCAAAATGAAGTCAAATGACATTGCCCTTATAAATATATATTCTGTTGTTAAACGGAAATTTAACTCTAGTCCTATCATAGAAATAGTTACCAATAGAAATCTATTATTAATAAGAAAACGTCTGAAAAATACCTATCTGAGAAAAAAAAACAAATCCAATTATTCGATCCTTTTAACAAACTACTCGGATTAGGTAATATTTCGATGAATCCTGTGTCAACTTAATTCAATAGATTTTTATTAGTTGGGATCCGACTGACCGAAAGCATGGCGATAATAGCTACTTCTATGGATTATATTAAATACTATCCTATTCTAAGTTTCAATGAATTTTTAATAGAATTCTATCGCATAATTTTGATTTCAGATTATGAACAACGATGACTACATGACAAAATTCACTAATTCTATTTTTCACTGCTGAATTTCGTGTTAAAAAAACAGCAAGAAGAAATAAGAGAAATATTAAATTAGGTTTGTTTGGAAAATTTCTTGTTTCACAAAGAATCCAAAATGAATTCTATATATTTCATTCTCTTTCATTATACATTATCAATTAATCGAAATATCAGAATAACATATTTTTATTCCCTCGACTGAAAGGAGGGTCATATGAAAGAAAATAGTTTGTCTGTCTGTGTCAGGGTCAAAAAAACATCAGGGTCAAAAAAACATCAGGGTCAAAAAAAAAACATCCACTTTAGAAAATTTTATATAAAGGTTGACGAAAATAAATCGAGGTCGGGGAATCCGAATCTGAAGTCAGATTTTTAAAACTTTGAAGTGAGTTTTTTTGGGTTAAGGGAAGGGTTTTTTGAGAAAATAACGATATTTTGTAAAGGTTGACGGAAGTAAATCGGGGTCGTGGAATCCGAATCTCAAGTCAGAATTTAAAATTTTGAAGTGGGTTTTTTCGGGTTGAAGAGAGGATCTTTTGAGAAAATAACGATATTTTGTAAAGGTTGACGGAAGTAATTCGGGGTAGGGGAATCCGAATCTGAAGTCAGAATTTAAAAATTTTGAAGAGGTTTTTTTGAGGTTAAGAGAAGGGTTTTCTGAGAAAATATTGATATCGTATTAAGGTTGACGAAAGCAAATCGAGGCCGGGGAATCAGAATCTGAAGTGGGCTTCTCTAAAAATATAATTGTTTATGTGGAAAAATGATACTTTTCTGGCTGAATTATTGTCTAAGGAGAAAGCTATTTTCTGGGAAAACAACTATTTGGAAAAAGGGAGCTCGAAGTTCGGAAACGCCTTCTGTCTATCTAGAATATTCAATTACTGTTTACTTTCGGTTTCCTTTTCACAGTATCGTTATAAGTGGGAGTCGGAGTGATGCCTAAGGAGATGGGCGTTTCATTAAGTCCGGTTGTGATAAAACAATGCTTACAACCCACTGACTCTCATCTCGATGGATACAACATTAGGCGATGACTGTTTATTCACGATGGTTTCTAAGTTGAATAGCTTTTCTGCGTACACTTAACTTAAGTCGAAAGAAGAAAAATTAAAAGAATACTGTAAGGGAAGTTCGAGACTATAGAGCAAATGCCAAATAATCAATGATTGTATTAATATGTTGAAATGATGCAGCAAGAGAGTATGAATAGTGCATGAGAGAGATATTAGTCAGCAACGAGCGACTACTATTGTAAACACCTTCTAATGTAGTTTGAGAAAATAACAACGCGAAGCCTCCATTTATGAAGAATAATCAATTAAGATATGTTAAATGAATAGTTCCAATAAAACTCTAATTTATTGGCTGAACAATGGTATCGAAGAAATTAAGAATAAACAATAAAGATGTGTTGGTTCCGAGTAGCCGATCTTGAGTCATCATGGTGTAAATCTCAAAGTTTTTTCAAATAATAGCAATATGACATTTAATAGAGTTTAGGTGAAAAGAGTTATCTTATGGTTGAATAAGATCAAAGATGGTAGCAGCCAGCCGCGAGTGGCGCCTCGGATGGGCGCCAATGAGCGACTGGCTGATGCACTGGCTTGTCTGCAGAAGTGCCGAATCGAAGTGTTGGAGTTCATTAAATAAAAGTCAATAGTTGTGGTAAAATGGATCTGAATAAGGAATATCAAATACAAAAAATCGAAAAAAACTATGCCAGGTTAAGGATGAGAAACGATTTTTATGATTGAATAGAATAACTGAATAGTTCATCGGAACAAAGACATTACTGAAAGAATTTATATTTGTTGTATCAGTAGTGAACATGAATGAAATAAAAGAGTGTTTCATTTGGTATATGTTTTTCTTTGTATTAATTCAAGTATCAGAATTTATACTGATATATTCAAATTATCTGTCTAGTCTTATCACTACTTTGAATAAGAGCTTGTTGTGTGTATGATGCTTTAATTAGAGATCAGATATAATATGATTTATTTTCAGTCAGAAGTTCCATGGAATTCCTACTTTCCTAGAGAACTCTATAGTAAACAGCATTATCGACGAATGTTGTAAAATTTATACAAATTTCTAGTAGAATTTTCAACAACTACTCTGCATTTTCGTACAACTGTTGTGAACTTCTTTTACTACATGTTCTGTGAAAAAATTGAATATGATATCTTGTTCAGTCGAGGGCTAAGCGAGTCGAAGCGACGAACGTTACTTGTTCATATCGGAAAATTTTTAGTTTTTAAATGAAATAATTTTTGTACAAGCTTAACTAATTATGCAAAGTAAATTAAATAAAAGTAAATAATCTATAAAAATATTTTTAAATTTAACTTGATATTATTCATATATTTCGTTATCCACTAGGTTAGAAAAAAATAAAGATTATTACTAGACACGGTGTATATGTCAATGGCAACTGAACGATTATTTTGTGACTCTTTATCGAAAGAATCTAATTTCTTTTTACAAGGGATGATTTTACACTTTTTCGGGACCTGCATCGTGTATTTCGAAGAAAAATGTAGCAAATATAAGTTTTAACTCAAGGTTTTGTGACTTCTCCACTCCCTCATAACAGGAATGGGGAGAATAATTCGCGTACATTGCATAGCAGCCGAGAACAACAGAAGTCAGACTCCTTTCCCAGAGTCTCTTAACAGCGGAAAAACAAACGCTGAACTATAGTTTCTTAGAGACTTTTTACTTAACGTAGTTTGTATGACTGCAGTATGTATAAGAAGAATAAACAACACATGATGTGAGTTTCACATTCTAGATCCAAATTGTTTGAGTTCACAAGCTTTTTTTATTTGAAAGAGCATGTCAGGCTGCAATATTTGACAGTCTTTTCTTTAAAATTCTTACCATTTATGCAGCGAAAAAGGACAGCTAGTTCAATATCTCGAAAAACTTCCAAAACATGGTTTTCTATTTATAGAAATGTACTTTTATATAATAATAAAAAGGCTTAATTCAACAACGAGCACTGTAGCTTCACACACTCGAGAATTCCTGGATGCACGATCAAAAAACCATAAAAAGAGAAAAACATGATAACGATTTGCTGTTTTCTTTTCTTGAAAAAGCATGTTTTTCAAGCACAAGGTGGCAAAAATCATCGACATTTTTTGAAAAAAATGACATGGCAAATATAAAACTCATTGTGTGTGAAAGATCCGACGTCAAGCTTTGTTCTTTTGCGCGTATATTAATTTCGACATTTTCTGACCAAAATAGACTTTTTTTCGAGAGGGAGGCTCAAAAAATTTCACCGAGAATTACAACAGGAATACCCAGTGGATTCCACTACCAAATATACTACGGGAAGTATCACTATAAAA